CGAAGTTTACGCTTTGTCCCCAAAACGCTGGATCACACGCGCCAGCGGCAACAACCCCGGCATCCTGTGGGCCTCCTAGGATCCTTGCGCTGACATCGTTCCCCTGAACCCCCCTCCAGTCCCCTCCTGGCACGCCGTTCAAGAGCCATTGCGCGTACCTCTGCTGCACCTCTCGCGTAAGTGCGTTCTGCGCTCCGTTCGCACTAGGTGTTGTACCGAAAACGGGATAGATGTCGTCTTCGTGGCAGACGGTGCTGCTCGTGTCGGTACAGAAGGAAGCTACGGCAGGGGGCTGCGTATTGTCCGGGTAGAGAGCGCACCGGATTGGAACTCGCCCACGTAGACCTTCGCTCCCCGCGCCGAGTATGCACGTGCAAAGGCGTAATTTGAGCCTGTTCACGCCCATTAGCTACAGAACAACTTGAGAAGACAGAAAAAGACTCACAGCGCCAAACTTGATCCGTGCCAACCTTTACGCTCAAGTTCCGAATATCCCCTCCAGTAGGATCATTCGCGGCGCTGGGATCCGCATAGTAGCTACTGTGCGCCACAGCCCCAGCACGGTTCGCCCAGCACACTCTCGAGAATAGGAAGGAATGCCACATAAGGTAGGGGTTGGGCAAACGCAGGGTCGGCATAGTCGGCAGGACCAGCTTCAGCAGAGGTGGTCGTCAGAACCAGCGCTTTGAGGTTGTTAGGGAGAAGCTGGGATGCAGGCGCGTAGGAAGTGCTGAATGGTTGCATCCAGTACTGCACGAGCTGGCCATTGGAGGCAGTGGAATGGACGACATTGCTGATCTTCCTTTTCGATCGAGTAGACAAAGATGCTATCCACGTATATATCCGACAATTCAATAAGTCAATCAAGCAATTGATAATGACCTTTTCCACTCGAAGTAATCAAAAGTAAGAGAGAGAAGGAGATGAAAAAGAAATTGAAGAGAGAGCGGGTGAAGGGATTGTCATGCGTTGGCTGTGGGACTGCTTTGTGCGTCGGTGTAATTGTAATGAATTACGTACACATGACAACTATTATACTACAGATAGAACGAGCGTGTAGGATGTATTACATGCGGGTAAAGTGTCAGACAACTATAATTCATAATCAGACTTGTATGACAATGACAGCTAGTGAAATCAGACTTACGCCATGCAGTCGCAACGACAGCTACAAGAATCAACGTTCAGGCAATGACGTCACGTATGGTTACGCATGCTGCATTTAAAATACAGGTCCGGCCCAAGGTTATCGAGTGGCCCAGGCAACTCAGTGTCGCTTCATACGCCTGCATGGTGCACGGATCTGAGCATTCTCCGAGTTTGTTCAGGGCGCCAACGCACGCCTCTGCAGCTCAGCGCGTGTTGTCGTCGGTACCTGCCGGTACAATGGGAATTTCCTGGTATCAGGTAAGTGAAAGGGATCAGACAAAAGGGAAGCGCATGACATACTGGTACATGTATGCTGTCCTCGTCGCCCTCCCCATCATCCAACTCTGCTTGTCCACCTCCGTTGTTCGCTTCAACTTCAGGAGGTGCGCAAGCTTCGATTTCTTCATCGTCATCCCTCGACGGGAACCAGGGAGTTAGGTGAGGAATGGCCGAGGTGCGTGATGAGGGGTGACGGGGCGAGAGGAGGACATGCTTATACTAGTGGTGTTGGGTGTGTGAACGAGAGGATGCATCCTCCCTCCCAAACTCAGTTCCTCAACACCGCGTGGAAGCCATTTGCTAGGTTCACATTCGGTTTGATATATACGGCCGTAGTACAGGCCACATACCTGGATGGTGCAGGCGTCTGAACATTCCCCGAGTTGGTTCAGGGCGCCGATGCATGCGTCTGCAGTTGAGCGCGTGTTGTGACGGCGCCATTCGATTTGAGTTCAGGAGCAGTAAGAATGGGGGTAGATGCGGGAGTATAATCACGTGGTTGTGAGCGTCTGTTTTTGCGCCATTCGTTTCTCCGCGGCTTTTGTGTCTTCTCTTGTGTGGTGCCCTTCACAGTCATTGACAGCTTACTACTCCCTGTCCAGCTCTTAACTCTCTCCTCAACCACCACCATGCTAACACGGCACATATCATACGCAGCACGCCGTATTCCTTCCTCATCCCGCGCACTAGGCAGCATCAGGACATTCGTACACCCAACCCCGCCAGACAGCGCCAGCGTGCAAGATGTGCGGCAGGCACCTCCTCCCTCTCCCCCAAGTCCTCCAGAGCCAGAACCGCACTTCCAGCCTGCGCCCGACATGCTAGGATTCAAACTCGACGTCCCTAAGAGGGAAGAGATTACCCTCCGCCCGATCTACCTCGATGTGCAGGCTACGGCTCCTATGGACCCTCGAGTGCTCGACGCCATGCTCCCGTACTATACCGACCAGTATGGGAATCCGCATTCGCGCACGCACGCTTATGGCTGGGAGGCAGAGGCGGCGGTCGAAAAGGCTCGCAAGCACGTAGCGGACCTCATCGGTGCTGAGGACAAGGATATGATCTTCACTAGCGGGGCGACAGAGAGCAATAACATGATCATCAAGGGCGTGGCGAGGTTTCACAAGGAGAAGAAGAATCACATTATCACTACCCAGACTGTGCGTTGTTTTGAACACTGTGCGGGCGTTTACTGATGCCCTGCAGGAACACAAGTGCGTTCTGGACTCGTGTCGCAAGCTCCAGGAAGAGGGGTTCGAAGTCACCTACCTCCCCGTGAAGCAGAACGGACTCGTAGACCTCGCCGAACTCGCCCAGGCCATACGACCCACCACCTCCCTGGTCAGTATCATGGCCGTCAACAACGAGACGGGCGTCATCCAACCGCTGAAGGAGATCGGCGAGCTGGTAAAGCAGCATCGTGGCGTGTACTTCCACTCGGACTGCGCACAGGCTGTCGGCAAGATACCGATCGATGTGAACGAGGCGAAGCTGGACTTCGTCAGCATCTCCGGGCATAAGATCTATGGGCCCAAGGGGGTTGGCGCCGCTTATGTAAGACGAAGGCCGAGGGTCAGGCTCGAGCCTATCCTGAGCGGTGGAGGGCAGGAGCGAGGCCTAAGGAGCGGTACGCTCCCAGCGCCTCTTATCGTAGGGCTGGGAGAGGCATGCAGGCTCGCACAGCGGGAGATGGCGGTGAGTTTTCGGTTTCTGCATGATACGGGGTGGGTGGGTGATGAGAGCTGCACACAAGCGACTCTGGTCGCGAGAGCGCGGCGGCGGGCTAAGGCTCACCGGCCACGCGAGGACGTCTGTGCAGGGGTACTGACGCTAGCCCCGTACCCTCAACCTTGAAGCAGCATGCTTATTCTCCTCAGGCCGACCACTCACGTGTCTCCGCCCTCTCTCAACGGCTCATCGACGGGATCACCTCCCGCGTCACCCATATCGTGCGAAACGGCGACCCTGCCGGCTATCCTGGCTGCGTGAACCTCTCGTTCTCCTACGTGGAGGGCGAGTCCCTCCTCATGGCGCTCAAGGACGTAGCCCTCTCCTCTGGCTCGGCATGTACGAGCGCCAGCTTGGAACCGAGCTACGTCCTCCGGGCGTTGGGCGCGGCGGAGGACATGGCACACAGCAGCCTGAGATTCGGGATTGGAAGGTTCACAACTGAAGCGGAGATCGATTTTGTCATCGATAGGATCGTCGGCGTCGTCACCAAGCTTAGGGATATGAGGTGCGTGCTTTTGTTGGGGGTTTATGTGATGGTGCTGATTGGCGCGATAGTCCGCTTTGGGAGATGGTACAGGAGGGAATCGATCTGGAGACGATCGACTGGTCGCAGCATTAAGTTGCGCCCAGCTGGTCTACCGTTGCACTCACCAAACGGCGGGCGACAAAAAGGCTGAGAACAAGGACCCTCGGTTCAGGCTTTTGGAGTGAGGGACGGGGGAGTATAGACAGGTTAGGGCTCACTGGGGCACTGAGTAGGAAGTGACTATGTTATGGAGCAAAGGAGTGAAAGAGAAGCACTCTTGTACTCTTAGTGTTTTTTTTTTCAATTTATGCTTTGCATGCGTGGGGATGGGACGCGGAGTGGTGGGTTGGGGATATGCTGTCCCGCTCAGATCCGTCGCACCAGAAGATGTGGTGTGTCCTATGTTCCATGATCGATGGTGGAAGACTCACTGAGAACGACACACTCCCATTGAACGATATACAGTGCCGAGTATGTGAACGCACCCCTTGGACAAAGACACACCACAACTCTCGTCAAACTTTGCGGCTGGGACGAATCGAGGGATAATGGATGATTAATATACCGAGCAAAAAGGATAGATGCAAGAACATGATCAGGAGATGCTATAGAGACCAAAAAAGGGGAAGATGGATGAAGAACCAAAGTAAGGCAGTCTAAGCCGACGCTCAGTCATCAAACTTGATACTGTGACTCTTGAGCTACTCGACCCATCAGCTATTCGTCCAGGGAGTCAAACCATCCAACGTACCGTGATCTCCCCTCCGATATAACTTCCCCTCTTCTTCTTATTCTTCTCCTTCCTGAACCCCGCTCCACGCGTAACGATCAGATCCCTGCTCGCCTTGACGCCGTAGTCGTTCCCCCCCGCCCCTCTCCCTTCGAACGTGTTATCCCTAAGCTTCTCATGTGCAAAGGTAACTTCATCAGCTTTGATACGTGAGAAAGGTACGTTTTGCGGGCGCTTCCCGTTGGGCTTCTCCGTTTCCGCTGGCTTGGAAGGTGAGGACTCTGGCTCAACGGTGAGACGGGCCTTCTTAGCTGGCGGCTCAGTCGCCGGCGCAGCTAAAGGTATCGATGCACCAGCAGCAGGTGTACCCGCTGGGGCTGTGACGCCATTCGTCGACGGGCCCGGAGTCGAGGGTGTAGGGATATGACCGTTCGGACCAGGCTCGGACAGGCGCTTCCGTTTCTTGGTTTTCGGGGCGGGGGTAACGACAGCCTGTGGCTCGTTTTCCTCAGACGAGGAGTCGGACGACTCTGGTGGCGGAACGGTCTTAGTAGAAGGAGCGGGTTTAACAGGTGAGGCATTAGAATCGGACTCGCATTCAGAGCTCGATTCGTCACTGGCACAAAATCAGCCAGACATCAACTTGCCGGTCTTGTAGACACACCTGTCTTCCTCTTCCTCTTTTTCTTTTGCACTGGCGTCTCTCCACTTCTTCACCACTTCTATAAGCTCAACAGTTGCTGCTGGGGCCTTCTTCAGGTCCACGACAGGCTTCGCGGCTTTTCGGAGAGTCTTGGCAGCTTTTTCGTGGCCTTTCGAAAGGAGAAAGTTGTAGATTAGGGTATATGTGACTAGATAGCTCATTCAGTAAATTTGACCAATATGAACCTCTTGGAAGAACACGTACGGCAAAGCGTCTCTTGCTCGTCGGATGCCATTATACGTCGAGTTGGCAAGGATAAAGCGTGTTGTGAAAGAATTCAACGAGGCCTTCAAAAACTGGCACAGCCTCTTACAATGATTCTCCTTTTTGGCGCACTTTGCTTCATGCTTCAACTTCCTGACTTAACCTCAAAATTGGTCATAAATACAGTCCAACATCGCTCAAAAAATTATGGATGAAGGATTATATTTCTTTAAAACACATTTGCCTCCCACGAATGGACCGTTCATGGCAACTGGCACTCCATCAATATGTGAACTCTTATTGAACGCTCTTTGTATGCGTGGTCTGCATGGGCCTGCTTTCCTCCTGGCTTCGGTTACATATTACTGTTATGTATTGGGAAAATGATGCATTTAGGACAGCCCACCAAGGTGCGTGCTGCATACGTCGCGCCAGTTCTTGATCACTTTCCACAAGCCAACCTTTTTCGCTCACACACGCAACCGAAGAGACTGGTCGAGAACCACAATGATTTACTTACCATCTTCACCTTCCAGGGACGACACGAATGTTGGATTGTGGAATGTGGTCAAACGATGTTATCGTGGGAAAGACCTCTCAAAGACCGCAAGCCTCGTGGCACTGGTGACGGACTTGTGGCTTTATAAGGAGGACGGGATTCTTCAAGGCTGTAGGATCCACTTCATCACCACGACAAATCTCCAATATGTCTTCTTCGACTCCTTTTTTCAATGACTTTCCCGACTGCTCCCGCACCGGGCAACACATACGCAACGTTTGCGGGCGTTGCCTATTCAGGTGTATTCTCCGAGCAAAGCCGGGTAGGTCAACCTTCCTGTGTTAAGAACAATTTTTTGACTGATCTCCAGGAGACGAGGCGAAGATCCCTTCTCTCTACTGCCTTTTGGCGCGCGCCTATCTCCTCGTCAGATCTATCCCATTCCACCTCGACAAGGCCCACGCCGCGTTGCAGAAAGCGGCTCCGTCCGGACCCCATGGCGTCGTCGCTCTGCTGAACGCCGCAGTGTGGTACAGCAAAGGCGACATCAATCATGCGTTCGAGCTGTACTTCAGTCTTCTGAAGAGCAACATCACAACCAAAGAGCTATGGTGGAACGTCGCGTCTGTCCTGGAGATTAGCGGGATGCAGAACCTCGATTCCGCCTTCAAAGCCTACACGAATAACGCTGCTCTTGATCCTTCCCCCATTCGTCTTGCAGTCTTCCGTATCAACGCTCTTCTTGGTATGAAGGATAAGGCTGCTAAGGTGTTTTCTGCCGCTCTTGCTATACGTCGAGCCGCCGCTGCGATCAGACTCGCCGCTGGGTGGGAAGAACGCTCCACCACTGGACCGGAACTCAGCTTTGACGACTTTCAGCAGAAAGCTTTGGACAAGCTAATCCCTGCTGGCGTCTTCATTCCTTCAATTCGGGGCATTATTCACAACAATAAGCAGGCTTTCGAAAGCAGACCTACTGTCTACTGCACCGCACCTCGTAGGGACAACCCACTTCTGATTAATCCCGCAGATCAAGCGATTATCAACTCAGAGCTAGATAACCATGGCGAAGATCGGGTGGTGACAGGTTGATTTCATGAATATCATGACTTGGAACATTGGGAACTTCCGATCGCCACGTTCTTTCTTGCATCATCCTCTTCACTTTCTCATAATTTTCACCGCCGATGTCCTTTCCTTGCGTCTATGTATTCCCACCAAATTATGCTACATTGTGTTCTTGCTTAACCCAGGCAACCGTCGTTGTACAGGCAATATACCACTTGAATATTCACTTCCTCTTTTTCCATTCCCTGTTTCTCAGCGCACACGAGGGAATTGTTCGCGACTTCACGCAAGCAAGTGGGCCAGCGAAGACCATTGACTTGTTTTTTGTTTCTCCCGAAAATAGGTTTACGGCATTACTTGCCGCGTATGTTATCTATTTTCTCCTCTTCCTGATGTCTCTTCTTTAACCCCAAATTGTTTGACGCCAAACTCGTAACAGCTCCCAGCCGGCAATCGAACTTGAACGACCGTTTCCACCCACAAGAGAGCAACAGCCGTAAATGCTCGGGTCACAGAATCAGGTCCCCATACCCCCCGTCAGCTCGGAACGCAGTCCTCAACTTCATCTGACCCTTGTGTCGGTCCCTGCTGACAACCGACGAACACTGGCCACAGACGGTCTTTAGAAGGGAAGGCCTGGCAGTCCTTCGCCTCCGAGTATGTTTACTCCACGTCACAGATCGAAACAAGGTTCCAGGATGACGGAAAGACATGACCCTTGGACCTATCTGGACTGCCTGAACCTGCTGAAGAATGCGGAATCCATAGCCTTCGGTTTGTCTACTGCTCTCCACAGTTTGGAGCTCTTTCGATACCAACTCTTTGGCTTACTTGCCGTGCCAAGATATATTCTGCCCCATGGTCTTGATGTTCCGCCTACCGAGGATATCCAGGAAGCAGCAAACGGAGAAAGTGAGCAACGCCACTACATCACCGCTTTGCTGCTAGGCAGCGTGGACTACGCAAGCGGACCATTTTCAAAAGCGTATAGTCACTTTTTAAAGCTGCAACCTCTGTCAAGATAATCGAAGCATCGTACGGAGTTGGAGCCTGCTCAGAAGCACTCTACGTCCAAGAGGCCGACAGCATTGGCACCAAGTGCGGTCTGAAGGATGGGTCTCAGTTTCCCGGTACAGAGCACATGCTGCAAGCGATCGGAGCGTACGACACTTGCAATGTTATTTGCAACAGTGCAAGAAATCCGGCGCCGCGTCGCCTAGCCATCCTGGAACACATCCTACAGGAATTGATCAGGACGAATACGCCCCTCTGCCCAGAACCAGGACCTGGCCTCTGGCTACCAAGTATCGCGGCTATCCGTGGGGTGAAACCCGTAGCCCTCTGCTATGGATCCCGCTTCTTCCGTGCTTGCAGCGGTACACAGCATCTTAGGATGTTGACACCGAGGCTGAGGCCACTCACAATTGATGGCCAGGGAGCGCGGTCATTTACTGGTTCGGAGAAAGTGCTTGCAGCCTGGTGGGAGAAACCAGGCTTGGGGTTACACCCTAGAATTCCTGGTATTCCGAGCCAGTTCATCCGCCTTTGTAGGGTAGATAGTAACAGTCACGTTCACAGCCAACCATGCCTGCAGTACAGGTGCACTGCATTGGTGATAATCCCCAAGTCATCGATGGAATTGGCGATAGTCCGCAGCAGTGTCAAGTTGCCAGTAATAGAGCGTCCTTTTAGAGCACCAACTCCTAGCAGCCTTGTTGACTTTCCGTACATATGTAATCGATATGAGCAGTGTTGGGGTTATAGTACACTCCAGTGATCGTTCCCCGCGGCGAAGTCAAAAGTCGTGACGTTTGCACCCGCCTCATGGACATGTGATTGCACGTGGACAACGTATTTACAACGCGAATTCCCTGTGCTGGACACTCGGACACAAGGTTGTTACGTTGACGCCTTTTTCCATCCTTATCGCTGCTTAAAGGTGCTTCTCGTACATATCTGTGGGGTGCGGCTAAGGACTGGGACTAAAATTACTGATTATCTCGCGAGGTGGTGCTGTGCCCCTTCAGGGAAAATGCATGGAAAGGAGAGAGCACATGGGTTTCGATGTATTGTAAGACAAGTTTCTGATCCAACAAGAGAAGGGGTAACATTGGAATAGGGGATTGAATATGTACAACACTTTTGGGAGAGGGGCTTCCGTGTCTTTAGGGATCGGCTCACATGGTCCAATGCGCCATATTGCAATCCGGTGAAACGATTCCCACCGAACGGTACACCATGGAAGGGATGCTCAGGTATCATGTGCATCAGGTCATGCGAGCCCCGTCTGTTGCGGCAAATTGATCGGCGGTTATATGCAGACAATTTCGATGTTATTGGTTCGATATGCCTAAAATAGCTCTGTTGCCATTCGTGGGATCCATTCGCGAAATGGTATTTTCCTTCCAGTTCTGTTTCGAACGATAATATTCAGACTCGGTATATGTTTTCCCTTCTAATTAAGGCTGCTCACCTTCTGCTGTTTCTGATATTCCGCTGCTCGTACTATTTCGATATGCCATAGGAGCCACATGGCCCGCTCAAACTGGGTGAGCACGACGTGTGTTTACGTCTTAGGGACGGGGTCCCCAGATGTTTCTCCGAAAATGCGGGGGAAGTTGCATGAATATCTGTATTCGGTCAAGAATCGGTCATTGTTCAGCTGTCTTCTTTCCGCGTGGTAAATTGAATTTGTGCCTTCCCTCGTGACACGGAAGCAGACAAGCGTATGGGAAGGTTCAACATCTTAGTGCCCCGCACTCAGGTTCTGTCCGGTTATTCCGGCTCCGGACATGTGGTTAGGCGTGCCCCACAAGTTTCCACTGAATGCGACCATCACTTCTCTGTTTAACATTTTCTTCTGGCGTCATCGTTTTGACCGCTTCGACGTATTGTTGGCGACATAAAATTTGACATTAACGCTCTCCTGCAGGATGCTCTGATCGGAGCCTGTCAATTGTCTGCCCGAGCACCGCCCGAGAGGGGTCGCGTGAGGAGTCTTCAAGAAGATAAAATGAATTGTGCGGAAATCTTTAGAGGTCCACTGGCGGGCCTTGTCTCGTCTTCAGTTGGCTTGAGCTTTTTATAGAGCTTTGTCCAGTCGATCTCAGAGCTGTAGGTGTCCTGCACATTCCAACATTTGAACTGATATCCTTCTGATCATTTCTCAAAGACCGATCTTTCAATATGTCTTCAGAGAACGAGAACATCGATTTCGAGAAGCCGGACGTCGAGCACAAGAAGCGCTACGGCAAGGGCGACGAATACATCAGCCGCGTTGCCACCGGATACTCTGGCTTGGCCGGTGAGGCGAGCAAGGCGACCGATGCTGAGCATCGCATGAGCCTTGGTCAGGCTCTTCGCCTCTATCCCAAGGCTGTCGGATGGTCGATCCTTCTCTCCACGGCTGTAGTCATGGAAGGTTACGACACCAACCTTCTCGGTTCTTTCTACGCATATCCAGCCTTTGCCCAGAAGTATGGGGTACAGCAGCCTGATGGCACGTACCAGGTCACCGCTCCATGGCAGTCTGGCCTCTCCAATGGTGCGCAGATCGGCGAGATCCTTGGATTGTTTATCAACGGCATCGTCTCGGAGCGCTACGGCTACAGGGCGGTCATGATGGTCTCCCTGATTGCCGTTATTGGCTTTATCTTCATAAACTTTTTTGCGCCCTCGGCAAGTACAGACCTCAGAAGCAGTTGACAAAGTTACTGACCGTACGTTTAGGTCGAAGTTCTTCTCGTCGGCGAGATTCTGTGCGGCATCCCGTGGGGTGTCTTCCAAACCCTGACAACCGCCTACGCTGCCGAAGTCTGCCCCGTCGCCCTGCGTGCATATTTGACGACCTACGTCAACCTCTGCTGGGTGATCGGCCAATTAATCTCCTCCGGTATCCTCCGAGGCCTCCTGAGCCGCACAGACGAATGGTCCTACCGTATTCCCTTTGCTCTGCAGTGGATGTGGCCTGTCTTCATCTGCACAGGCGTGTTCTTTGCTCCGGAATCCCCATGGTGGCTTGTCCGACACGGCAAGGTCGCTGAAGCAGAACGAGCGCTCCTCCGACTGACGAGCAAGTCCGACGTAGAATTCGACGTCTCTGCCACAATAGCAATGATGATCCACACGAACGAGCTCGAGAAAGAGATGACGGCGGGCACGACCTACTGGGACTGTTTCAAGGGGTACGAGCTGCGGCGGACGGAGATCGGCGCCGTGACTTGGGCGATTCAGAACCTGTGCGGTTCGACATTCATGGGCTACTCAACCTATTTCTTTGAGCAGGCAGGGCTGAGCAACGACTTCGCCTACGACTTCAGTATCATCATGTACGCCGTCGGGATGTGCGGCACCTTCTCGTCGTGGTTCCTCATGAACTGGTTCGGCCGACGCACGCTCTATCTTGCCGGCCTCGTCGCCATGGTGTGTATAATGTTCATCATCGGTTTCCTCGCATTGTCCAACACCACAGGCGCGAAATGGGCGCTAGCCTCACTCGTAGTCGTCTACACATTCGCGTATGATAGCACCGTCGGCCCGGTATGCTACTCGCTCGTAGCAGAGATCCCCAGCACCCGCCTCCGCGCAAAGAGCATCGTCATCTCCCGCAACGTGTACAACATCGTCGGTATCATCACGAGTGTTCTTGCACCGTACATGTTCAACCCCAGCGCGTGGAACTGGAAGGGCAAGGCTGGGTTCTTCTGGGGCGGCTCGGCGCTGCTCTGCTTGATCTGGACGTACTTTAGACTCCCAGAGCCGAAGGGTCGCACATACGGAGAGCTGGACGTGCTATTTGAGAGGAAGGTCTCGGCGAGGAAATTCAAGACTACCCAGGTAGACGTGCGCGTCAATGATGTCAAGATGGATGTGGATATGCCCGTGCATGTGTGAAAGCGTCCCCATATGAGATCTTACCACAAAAGCTGGTGTATACTAGTTGGGAGTAAATGATATGATTTGATTACACACGGAGGTTTAACTCTGACGAACGTGCAAGAGGGGCAGTTCATTTGATCGAGAACGAACAAGCCCAATAACAAATGACCCATACTGAGCTGCTCCCGCAGTACTGTGTATGTTGTTCCTTTCAGCACAGCTTCCCGGGACCGGTTAATGACCAAGCTGGAGATCAAGCAACAATGAGAGTATCTCATTCATTGACTGAAACATAGCCTTCATCATTCGAAACTCCCGCATGGCGTTGTCAGGAACCCCGGCTGTTGGTCAACTCTACTTCGCATTCAAAGTATTTGGTGTTTGATATCGCTTTCACTTAAAAGCCGTTTGATCTACTATGGGCAGCTTCACTAACTGGTCTCGCCTCCTCTCTGCTCGCCTCCTCTCCACTTGCCCCGTCTTTCAAAGGTGCTGGTCACCTCGTCCCTCCCGTACTAATTCTTTCACGGCACGATCTTCAGCAGGACGATACTTTTGACTTGGATTTTTGCCGCCTTCCTAGTTTGGGCTTCTCCCCTTCCGCAGCTGGTACCTAGAGGAGACTGGCTGGATGTCAGGGATGCTCCTACTCTGTGCGTAATTCCATCGACTGTCGCCGGACATTGGGGCACCGCTTATCGCAGTCCAAGATAGACAAATCCATACTCCTCCCTCACCTCCAGATCCCGCACCATCCCATACGGCTCCTCCCCAGGCGCATGAGAAAGATACACAAATCGATACTCCTCCCTCACCTACACATCCCGCACCACCCCATGCGGCTCCTCCCCAGGCGCATGCGAAGAAGAACCCACACCCCAACGGCGTGATCCGTGATTTGTATGTGTCTAGCCCAAGCCTTTACCATGGATATTGACCGCTCTTGTACTATCAGCTTGCGCAAGACATTTCAGAAGAAAGCACCGGATCGTCCTTGGTACACGAAACCTCTGAAAGCTCTGGCCGAACAGTATGCGAAAGATGGCGATCCTGAGCGTGAAGCATTGCGCACACGATCCTGGCAGAGCAGCATGCGATGAGTGCTGATGCCTATCATGAACTAGGAGATCTGAAAGCGGAAAACGAGCTGCGTAAGGCAAGTGAGCAGTCGCGACAGAAATCCGAGGAAGCTACTCTTAAGGCCAAGCAAAATCCCGGACCAATACTGAAAGAATCCGAGAAAGCCGTGAAGCTGGCGAACCATCTTCGCATGGGAAATGCCGCGGAGAAAATGGCGGAGAGATTATTCAGGAAACATGCCCATCCCGATATACTACGAGTACACGAAGAGCACTTTAGATCCAATTATGGGGAGTTCTCGGCCGCGTATCATCATGTATGATTTGTATCCCCACCTGTGAAATACAACGTTGCATTTCTGCCCCTGTTATTTGCCTTTGTCTGGTCCTTCGATTCAACGCACCATTTTGGGGAGAATATGCGTTGGCTCGTGCCGAAAGCATGTCTGCGAAAGGAGCGCAGAGAATCGATATACGCATACAAGCTTGAAGATGTTACAAAACAAGTTCTGGATCTTCCTCCAGACAAAACAATACACACTGAATAACTCAAGAAGAAGAGCTCAAGAAACACCACCAAAACTCCCCTCACACTCCCAACGTGTCGAACAGTCGAGCAGCAAGCAGTCCAACCAACTCAAACGTTCTTCCTCGGTCTCCCCCGTCCTCTCTTCACGGGGCTCTCTTCTCGCTTCACCTCTTCTAGCTCCTTCCCCATTTCCTCTGTCTCTTTCTTCACCCTGGGATCCTTCTCCTTAGCGACGAGCTCACGTTTGACCACCGACTCCCGCTTGACCACCGGTTCGGGCGTGCGCAAGTCCACACTACGTTTCGTCCGTCTCGGATACCTTCTCTCTTCCGGGGTCCTACACCCCTCGTCCTTTTCCGTCTCTTCATGATCCCGCATTCTTACGAAGGACTCCAACGCGCTCGCCGATCCCGAGCTCTCCAGCTCCCGGTCGCTCGACGGCGGTGAAACAGGTACAGACACGCGGTACTTCTTTCCCAGAGTGGAATTTGGCGGGCTGGGGGGAGTGAGGGAGTAAGGGTTGGCGGTTAACCGACGGGGACGGGTGAGTTTCTTCTTGTCTGGTGATGGTTGGGTGGAGGGGGAGGCGTCTTCTGGTGACTGGAGGGAAGGAGGACGGAGGAGGCTGTCTAGCCTTGCCTGGGAACGCTTAGCTCTGGAAAGTAGCATAATGGCGAGAGACGCACTCCGAGAAACCCTTTCCTATCCCCCTCGCTCTGCAGCGCCTTCCTGTACGCGTCTCCACTGACGCTGCTCACCCCTGCCAACCAGCCCAGCGCTCCCTGTGCACCCTTGGCAAGCTGTGCGAGTGCCCAACCCCAGCTGATACGCAGTTCAAGGGATTTCCTAGCAGCACGCAAGGGGAGGAGGGGGAGGACTGTATGTACCGCGAGCCTGACGTCGGGTAGGACAGGGAGGAGGAGAAGGAAGGCGACGGATTCGTATATCGTCACTCTGATGAGCTCGCGGTAGTCGTCGTAGTATCCCCAGGCGGCGCGTGCTGCGAGCCAGAGGAGATGAGCCCAGGTAGGGAGAGGGAGAAGGATGGTGCTCCATAGGAAGAGGACGGGAGAGAGGATGGAGAGGCGGATACGAGATTGGTCCCATAGAGAGAGGAGAAGGAGAGCGAGGGAGAGGAAGAGGGGGAGGTATATGTATGGCCTGAAGAGTTCTGTGCGTAAGGATGGTGGTGGTTGTGGAAAGGAAAGAGGAGTGAGGGTGGACATTGTGTGTTGTGTTAAGGGTTGAGCGAAGGACAATTAATGATGGGTTAATAAGAACAGTCACGTGAGCGGCACTTCTTGCACACGGCACGTGACAGGCACAACGGGTGATCTTCGGCTCCGACCTTTTATGGGTGAAGGCACAGGGAAGCGGAAGCAGAGAAGCAGCAGAAGAAAAGTAAGTGGCTGTGGGAGAAGAGCGGTGCTTATTTAAAAGCTGCTTAGTAAAATTAGTTGCTGTGACTGGTTTCGACGCTCAACACCCCCGAAACCTGCAACAAGTTGCCCAGAAACACACGGTTGCCAAACGAACGATGTCAAAACAATGAAAATGTATTATACAACAAACACGTCCCACGGCGCCGTTTCAACCTGTAGTCCTGGAATGACATAAAACAGTTCAGTCGAGTGTACACATCCACCAGCTGCGCTCACTTCTCTCCTCTCCTCCCCTGTTTACAAGTTTACAAGGTGCTGGTCACCTCTTCAAGTTCCTAACATTGCCAACTCTTTCAACACATGATCATCAGCAAGACCGTACTTCTAACATGGCTTTTCGCCGCATTCATCGTTTCGGCTTCTCCCCTTCTCTACCTGGCACCTAGAGGAAACTGGCTCGAGGCAGGGGACGCTCCTGCCCTGTTGGGTAACTTGACCCGCGCCGTATATACCCTTCGTGACCGCTGATCACATCACAGGTAGAGCTCCCCCTGCCTCGGGACATCCCAAGTCCTCAATGCATGCTTCTGTCTCTTCTACCCCTCTTCCGGCTTATTCGAAGAAAGACCCAAACCCTGGAAACACCCCAGAGAAGAAGAGCACATCCTCAGTGCATGATGATACCGCTTATTCGAAGAAAGGCCCAAACCCTGGAAACACCCCAGAGAAGAGCAGGGGTCTAATTCGTGATTTGTATGTGCTCAGCCTACCTATAGGACGATCACGAATCTTGATCCTTCTTTCACAGCTTCCACAAAACGTTTGGGAAGAAATCGGGACAACCCACATCCCCAGTGCATGAGGATACCGATTATCTTCCGGCTTATTCGAAGGAAGACCCAGACCCGTCTCCTCCGTACCCAGGGAAGAAGAGCAAGGGTATAATTCGTGATTTGTATGTGCTCAGCCTACCTATAGGACGATCACGAAT